ATCGGAAGCCAGTGAAGGTTTTCAAGGACAGGAGTAATATGGTGTCGAATTTGAACACGTGAAACCAAACGAGCTGCCACGTTTTGTACACTCTGGATTTTCTTTATATATTTCGATGGAAGACCATAAAGAAGTGAATTGCAGTTATCTAACCTAGAAGAGACAAACGCATGCACAAGAAATTCAGTAGACTTGGTATTAAGGTATTTGCGGATGCTTCCAATCTTCCTAATGGATTGAAGACCAGCTTTGCATACGTTGTCTACGTGGTTAGTCATATCTAGTGCCGAGTCCATTAGTACTCCCAAATTGCGAGTGATAAGTGATGGTTTTATTGAAATGTTTCCAATATTCACCGAAGGAACCAGGTTGGTATTACGAAAACGAGATGAGAAATGAATAATCTCGGTCTTTGCATCATTCAAAACAAGCATATTGCTCTTGCACCATGATCTGACGTCGGCGATGCATGCCTCTAACTTACTTACAGCAAGTGCAAGGTTATCAGGACTAAATGGAAGGTATAACTGAGTATCATCTGCGTAAACCATGTATTTAACCTGATGTGCTGTGATAATGTCATGTAAGGGCGCTGTAAACATAGTAAAACTGAGGGGTCCAATAACAGAACCCTGTGGTACTCCAAATGAAAGTTGAGTTTGATCAGACTTAGTCTCATTGACTAAAAGAGTCTGGGTTCTGTTCATCAAGTATGATTCAAACCATAGTTTAACATTACCAGTAATACCATACCGCGATGTTAGACGATTTAGCAGTTGACAATGATCAATGGTGTCAAAAGCAGCGCTGAAGTCCAATAGGACTATGATAACCTCTAGCCTCCTGTCAAGTGCGGTTAAAATATCATTTTGAACTCTTATTAATGCTGATTCATCACTATGGTATTGGCGGTAAGCAGATTGTCTGGGAGGAAATAAATTATTCTCATTGAGGTAAGACTGCAACTGACTCGATGCAGCTCTTTCAATAACTTTCCCGAGGAAAGGAAGATTAGAGATAGGACGGTAGCTAGAAAGAAGATCAGTATCCAGTTTTGGATTTTTCAGCAAAGGAGTAATACAAGCATGTTTGAGCTTTGATGGAAATACACCAGATGCTAATGATGAATTAACCAATAAAAATGGTAGTGATCTTCATCGACTGGAAGTCCAGATTTCATCCACTTGCGTTCACGACGCCTGCGTTCCTTCTTCATGGCACGGTGTAAATCCGTAAACCATGGTGCATGTGGACGAATAAACAGAGTTTTTGTTGAGATCGGGGCAAAAGCATCAATTGTTTTACGCAATTTTGCATTGTACAGATCAACAAGTGACTCTACATCATTTGGTAGTTGAAATGGTAATGAAGATTGAAGATCAGAATGGAACAGATCGATGTCAATGTTTTTCAGATTTCGAGATTGAACTAGCATTACACTTGGCCCGGGACGGGTTATGTCAACCTGGCACTTAATAGCATAATGATCAGACGGCAGACTGTGTTCAATAGAAATCTTACTCAATAAATCAATATCCTTACGAGAGATGAGCAAATCCAAAGTGTGATTCGCAGTGTTTGTCTACCGAAAGTATCTAAGATTTCCAAAAATAGACGAGATTCTCGAATGTCAGGAGCATCGACATGGACATTGAAATCACCAGTGATTACCAATTTCGATGATCCGTTGCTCAACAACTCAAGTAATGAAGAGAATTCCTCCAGAAAACGTAAGTTTGTTCTTAGTGTTTGGTGGAATCCTATAAATGACAATAAAGAGAAAAGAGGTGGAAGAAGTTGACAATGTAACATTCTTAATTTCCATAGACTGATACAGGCACACTTCATTAACATGGAGTTGGATGCCATCTCGGATAAGAATTGCAATACCACCACCTCTACGGCCCAAAGTCCGAGGTACGTGAAAAAAACCTATAATTTGGCAAAGTAGATTTAATATCTGCCACGACATGATCATCACGTGAGTCACCAGTCATCCAAGTTTCAACCAGCGCAAACACATCAACGTGATTATTGATAACGAAATCACAAAGTGGTAGAGATTTATTCTTGGCCCTGATTGATCTCGCATTCCATGATGCGAGGTTTAAATTCGGAGCTCGGTGATTAGACTGAGGATTACTAATAACCGGATAAATAAGATTGTTGAAATTTATACCAGGGAAATATCTCGAAGGAGTGGGCTTAAATATTTTCAGAATAGGAATATGTTTTCGTACCGTGACTCGCCGACCTGCTCGACATCCCCTTTTTAGCCTCAAAATCCCACATTCTTTTATAACTTGATGTGATGAAGAAGGTATCCATGAATTATGTGATTTCCTTAAATGTAGTAGGATTTCTCTACTGTACACTATTGGTGGTGAAGTACCTGTAGGTCTAGGCCTAGGCCTCCTTATACCAATGTTTACCTGAGGTTGGTGGGTCAAAACAGGCCTCCGGACCGCACTGAAACCAGTCAAAATTGGCTGAGCATTGTTAAGACAAGGCCTAGCAAAATCACTTCCAAAAAGTAAGGAAAAAATGAAATGGAATAACATATCTATACAAAAAAATCATCATCAGGATTCAGTTGAAACAATACCATGAATCAATAAACAACAAAAAACTAAGTCAATAAATTAAGCACAATTTAAAGAATACAAAAGCAGCTAGTAGCACAGCGCTTCAGTTCAGTAGTACTTCATGTCTGTTTCATCTTATAAACTCTAATGAACCGAGATATGCAACTATTAATTGCACACAGAAATAACACACGAGAGACCAGATTGAAGATCAAGATGAAAACTAAACTTTCTTCACCATGCAATGCATCATGGGATATAATAATACCAAATATGGAATACTTTATCATGCATATGTATTATGATCTACTTATGATCTAGTATATAATATAATATTGATATGGATATGTGACAGTTTTTCATAGTGAAATGAAGAAATGATTCAATTTTGGTGACGATCCGCAGTAGGGCGTGGATATGAGAACCATTTAAAGATTTGTTGTTGACAATTGATTAAATTATTTAAACGCAATTTGCGTTTTTTAAAGCGCTAAAAGCAATTTCAACTAGGTTAAACTCAAAACTACCGTGATTTTCGCTTATAGTCATTAAATCGATATGAACTGAAAATGCACTTTCCTATGCAAGGTATTCTCATATAGCGCGCAATGGTTATGAGTCACGATGTACCTCGTTATTACTATTGTGAACTTGGTTTTTGTTGTTAGTTTTTTTTTCCACTTGATTTTTTTTCCCTCTTCATTAAAGTTATATTGGTTTTCCGTTTTTTTTTTACTTTATACCTTTTAACGACTTTTCTTTTTCTTGCAATTTTATCTGCATTTCTCATTAAAGCAATGGGGAGAAACCATACGTTCTGTTGTTTAAACAGACATAATAAGTCTAGTTGTTTGAATTAATCTTTTCCAATTTTATCCATTTTAAAACTTAGATAGAGATTTTAATGTATTTTATCAGGTTTCTGTGTGTTACTTTGTTATGAATGTGAATGTATTTGTTGTCTTTTGAACTACTGAACAGGTTCCCCAATATAAAGAATGAAAAAATAAATTTTAAAAATAGTATTAGAGAATTGTTTATTAAAAAGGGGAACCTTAACTAACCTAACAAAATACACGCGTGAGAAAAGCTTGTAATAAATATCTATTGGTTCTGGTTATATATTTTTACAACAAAATATTATTAGACCGTATTCATATATATATTATTCATGTTACCTCTTGGGTTTCTGAAAATAATTTAAAAGTCAATTCGAAAAAGACAAAGTTCATGTTAATTTCTTGTAAGTCCAATCGTCCTAACTACTCATTTAAACTTAACGATTATTTAATTGACGAGGTTGAGACTTATATGTATCTTGGAGTTACTATATCTAATGATCTTAGTTGGAAATCTCATATTGATATTATTTGCAAAAATAGGCAGTTTTTTAACGAGTGTGATTCTCGTACACCTTTGAAATTATATGTTGGTTTAATACGACCACTTTTGGAATATGCTTGCCAAGTCTTTGGTAATCATATTAATCAAACAGAATCTGTACAAAGGTTTGCATCTAAAGTTTGTTGTAAAAAGTACCATATACTGATAGGTGTAGACTAATGAATATTAAGACTTTGAAATCTAGACGTTTATTGCTCAAGCTTGTAACTCTGTTCAGATTTGTTAAAAATTATCTTTTTTTACCCCCTGGCACTTAAGTTGAGCCTGGCCGTCGTAGTAGTAGAAATAATCATTCTAATTCATTTGTAGTTCCTAAGTGTAGGACTCGAGCTAATCAGTCATCATTTTTCCCTTCGACAATAGCCCTGTGAAATAGTCTCCCTAACCATAAAATAATTTCTCATTTCGTTTATCAGTTTAAAAAAATTAGTTTTATCATGTTTCTTAGTTTGTATTTGTATGTCTCTATTTTTTTAATTGTACGCTTATTGTTTGTTTGTGTTGGAAGGCCTTTGCAATTAGCGTAATGCTATTTGGTCTTTCCTGGGCTGTTGTAGCTCGAATTATCATTCAAAAATAAATAAATAAATAATCTAAAATTACTTTTATATGACATATCACAGCAGTAATGGACTTAAGATGGGACTTCATACTCAAGAATACGTTATTTTATTAACATTGGAATTACAAACAAGCCATTTATTAAATAATAATTTAAAGATGTTTTGGCTTTAAAAAAAAATATATTTTTGATAGAAAATATTTTTTTGTTTATGAACGTACTGTCACTTACGGCAGTGTGACAGTTATATGTGATTCACCTTAGTTGTAAGTAACGAGTATGCTATATTAGTGATTTCAAGGGGTTAAGTGTTTAAAAGTATAAGTTAAATGGGTAAAGAAATATAAACAATAAAATAAAATAAAATAAATAAAAGTAAATAAACAAAACTAAATTTCTATTTATAACGAAAATGATGATAGTTCCTTCTTATATTTTTGCTTTCTTAGAGATGAAAAATGAGATAACAGAACTGATATGTCAGCATATGATACTAATGGTGATGCTTGTGGTGACGGTGATTGTAATAATTGTGGTGATTCAAATCAGCTGTTAATTAATCAGTAGATTTTAAGTGCGGTATCAATTTCTATATTATCGTTATCTTTAACGATTCCGCTATCGTTATCTTTATCAATATTATTATATTAAGTACAGTATTATTATTATTATTATTATTATTATTATTATTTTTTTTTTTTATTTTTTTTTTTAAATAAATTTTTATGGTGATAGTTATAGTAATGATTATGGTAATAATTCACATGATGGTTATAGTAATGGTATTGGTGATGGTAATTGTAATTGTAGTGTTGATAATAAACATACAATTTAGCTGATTCTCATTTAGTATAATTATTTTAAGTGAGGTGCAATTCTATGATATTATTTTTTGCTAACTAAACATATTCGGATCCAGCTTTTACAGAAAAATATGATACTTACTTTAACGTAAGTATACTGTAGGCCTATTTGATGTGCATTTTAAATGCTTAATTAAATCGTTCTTCTGAACTGTGTTTTTTAAAAAATTAAAACTAAATGAAGATATTTTGGGTGTCTTGTGTATTTAGTACAATAGTAACGAGTAAATTTTCTATTTTTATCATTATTTGTGGTTTTTAGTAAGTTGATTAAATAAATTGAAATATATAAATAAATTGTAATAGCTAGATTATTGGTGTGACAGTTATATGTTAATGGTCGCGGTAATTGTAATTTTATAATAAACATACAATTTGGCTGATCCTTAATCAGAAAATTTTAGGTGAGGTATGGAAACTAAACATATTCAGATTTAACAGTTATATATAAGTGATCCTTACTAAGTGTGAACTTAAGTATACTTAAGGCCTATTTGATAAGCATTTTAAATGTCTAACTTAATCGTTCTTCTGAACCATTGTGTCTAAAACTATGATTTTTTTAAAGGAGGTAAAAGTCAACAAAATGATGATAATTTCGGTGTATGGTGTATAATACAATTGTAACGAGTTAATTCGGTATTTTTATCATTATTTGTGGCCTGTGGTAAGTTAAATAAATAAATTGCAATTATATAAAAATAAATATTATAATATAAAATAATAGTTCATTCTTATATATCGCATATAATATTATATAATATTATATATAATATAATATAAAATAATATGGGATAATTCATATAAATGTAAGTGGTTTAATTCTAAGATAATCTTCCTCGTGTAACAGGACCTTCCAGGACCTAATTTGCACATAAGGCTATCTGTTTCATTGTCTTACACAGTTCATAGTTTAACAACATTTGTATTACTCTGGCTGTGGTGAATGAATTGGATATTTTATATATTGTATTATTTAATATTTTTATAGATATTATTTTAAATCATGGTAAATGGTGTTGAATTAGTATCAGTTGGTTACTATTAGTCACTACTTAACTATTGTTATCAATAGAGTAATTAAATATTGTGCTACTTTAGGTGTTCAGAAAGGCTGTGCACATGTTTTAGTCTCTGATGGTAGAAATATGGTGTTATCTAAATCATTTAGATGTAATAACATAATTGTTTAAGATGACGGCTATATAAGTGATGTTATGTTAGTAGTAAGCCATGTTATTATAATTAATGCATTTATACAATATATATTTAAGATACATAAACTCTGACATTAGAATTGTATACATTATTGCTATTGTCTTAAATGATAGTGAAGAAATATTAACTATATAATCATTTAGTATACTTGATTAATATCTTTCAGCCGAATGTTAAATTGTAAGTGGAAGTTAGTATTAAAAATGCTGAACACTCTATTATGTTAGTCTATTAATTAATGATGTTTTTTGGGTGAAAAACCTTGGCGTGTACTGTAGTGATATGCATTGAATTCTTATCTACTGTACAGCATTTTCATACATATATATACGTAAGGATGCAGAACGACAAACAACCAAGAAACAGCCTATAATCGCTTTAATACGATCCGGTGGATGAACTAGGCTTTGTTGATTTTATCATAATACAAAGAGGACAGTATGGTCCTGTAAAATCATAAAAATAAAAGTAATGAACATAACATAATGAGAATTAGACTAAAAATTCAGTATTCTATAACACATGCTTATTCATAAACATAAATATTTAAACTTACCGGCTACAACAAGAAAAAGGCTTCCTTGAGAGGACTGTGACTATTACGTCTACCGGCACGTCTGCCTGAACAGCCTCTGCACACTTTATTAGGGTGCACTATCTAACCTAATTCATTATCAACACAATGATTAAAACATCAAATGCCTGAATAACCATAAATTAACCAGAATAAATGCATGTTGGGAATTAACCCCATTATATAATAGTAAATTAAAGCTAAAACATCATTAGAAATCTTAACATAAAAATATAATAAAGAGTAATGGTATCAAGAGTGAACAATAACAAAGTCATGGGCGCAGCCATTTTATATCATACATAGAGGGCGTTATATTGAGCTATAAAAACTGGACTGTAGAGGGCGCACCATAATGGCGTCGCATATGATAACTCACATGAGTATCAATAGAACATGAGCTTAAAGTGTATAGACAAACTCCTTATTTAATACAAATTTCTAGAACTAAAACTAATTTCTAAACTAAACAATAAGTGTATTATAAGCATAAAGATTAATCAAATATAAACATTGTTGTATAAAACTACAGTTTATAGTATGGGCTAGTATAGTATACTCTAGGCCTCAGTTATAAAGCTTAAGCATAACAAGCTACTTTCACTCGAGCAGCACAGTGGCCAGTAGAAAATCACTGTACAAGCTACAGAGCTTAGAATATTTTAATTCTTAAAATGTTAAAATCTTATACATGAAAATAAGTATAAACTTAGCTAAAGTATTACAAATTATAATAACCGTCAAATAGATGAATTAACTTTGATTATGACTGCATGGGTTGAATCTTAAAGACAAATTAAGTAGCACACGACAATCGATGTTGATTCCTTAACAGCGTGAGAAGCAATTTGAATTAGGCCGTTAAAGTTACATATGGTGCTTCCTTCCGGTCTGGACATAACCTTATATACCAATGGAGCCCATTCATCAGCAATCTTATGTCTTCCTAGGGGATGACTTTTTAAAAATACTTTGGTCCCAACTGTAAGTGGTCTCTCCCTAGTTTTCCGGTCATAGAACTCCTTACGGTATTGCGCTTCCCGTCTCAGGTTCTCCCCTACTTTCTCGTATGCCAATTCAGTATTTTCAATACTGGAAGCTAACCATTCGCTGACCTCTTCGATCTCTGCTGTTTCATCAGGGTGATTATTCAACAAAAAGTCAATCGGAAGTTTGGGTTCTCCACTAAACATTAGAAAGAAAGGGAAAAACCTGTTGAAGAATGTTCCGATATATTATATGTGAAAAGTACTTCAGATGGGTAATGATTTAAGTAAGTCATGGAGAGTTCTATTAAAACGTTCCGCTTGTCCTTTTCCTTCAGGGTGGTGGGGTGTGGTCCTAGTTTTAGTAATGCCGTATATTTTGCAAAGAGCTTTGATTAATGCAGATTTAAAATTTCTCCCCTGATCCGAGTGAAGGCGTTGTGGGATTCCAAACTTGTTAAACCATTCTCTTAGCAGTATCTTTGCAGTGATTTCAGCAGTTTGATTTTTGGTCGCCACGGCAATGGTGTATTTAGAGAAGACATATGTAATTACTAGCACGTTCTCCTTTCCCGTTGCATCCCTCTCAATCAATGTAAAATCCATTGCCACTACTTCGTTTGGTTTAGTAGCAATAATGCTTTTGAGGGGTTCTCTGATTTTAGGACCTAGTTTTGCTTTGGCACAACGATCACATTGTTCACACCAGGAAATAAAATGGTCAGACATCCTAGGCCAGAAACAACGTTTTCTAATCAAACCTAACGTACGATTAGCTCCTTGATGACCAGCTTGATCATGACAGGTTTTAGGAACATCTTCCCTTAGAACGCTGGGTAGTATGAGTTGACATTGATCTCCAGCAGCGTTGACTCTGTAAAGTAAGTTATTTTTTACCTTTAGTTGATCAAACTGTCGTAACAGAAGACGAACTTCTACAGCTTCCAGTGCTCTTTCTTTTTGTTTAGGTTTGTAATTCAAGTTGACGTAATGCCAGAGTCTTGCAGTGTTAGTGTCTTTGTGCTGCAGTTCTGCTAACTGTTGGTTATCGTATCCAGGAAAGACTGGTGATGCTTGCAAAGCTTGAACAGAGACTGATGTGTTAGTAGGATTAGTAAAGTTAATCAAATCGTCAGGAAGACTAATCACGCTGGTCACCCTTCTAAAATCTTCAGATGTTACTATCCGAGTATCCGCTTCTACATGAGGTCTTCGGGACAAAGCATCTGCGGCTTGATTGTTTCTTCCCGGCTTGTAATGAACTTCGAAGTTAAAAGATGATAATTCGCCAACCCATCGCTGACTAACTGCATCCAGCCTAGCAGAATTTGAGCCAATGGATTGTTGTCGGTATAGACGATAAATTTGCTTCCAAGTAGATATTCACGAAACTTATCAGAAATTGCCCATTTCATTCCTAGAAGTTCCAGTTTCGTGCTTGAATATTTATCCATATTTTTCTCAGCACCTCTAAATGTAGGATTTGCATAGGCGATTACACGTCTTTTACCATGAAATGACACATCTATCTCTACTTCAAACGGCACATTGAAATCGGCATAAGCTAGTATTGGTTCTGAACACAGCTTGGTTTTCAATACGTTAAAAGCAATTTGATGTTCAGGCTTCCATATAAAATTAGCGTGTTTCCTCTCTTTAATCCCCTTTAAGCACTGTGCAACTAGATTGTGTAATGGTCCTGCTGTCTGTGAGAAGCCAGGTACAAAACGTCGTTAAAACGAACAAAAACCTAAAAAGGAACGCAATTCCTTGACACTAGTAGGGACAGGCCAATCCTGAACTGCGGTTAACTTATCTGGATCTGCTGTAACTCCATCTCGAGTAATGATATGTCCCAAATATTTAACTTTTGGACAAAAAAAGCTGGGCTTTATTTTCAAACCAAATTCCAGGAGTCTGTCGAATACGAGGCCAAGGTCTCTAATAGGATCTTCGAATGTGGTAGAATAAATTAGGACATCATCAAGGTAACATAAAACTGATTTAAAGAGTTAGTCACGAAGACAGGCTTGCATTAGTCGTTGAAAGGTCCCAGGGGCATTACACAACCCAAAGGGCATACGATTGTACTCAAATAAGCCAAACGATGTGGTAAAGCTGGTTTTCTGTCGATCACGGTCGTCCATGGCAACCTGATGATACCCTGACAGGAGATCAATTGCTGTGAACCATTTCTCACCATGAAGAGCATCCAAAGATTCCTCGATACGTGGAATGGGATAAGAATCTTTGATGGTTTTCTCGTTTAATTTTCTATAGTCCACACATAATCGCAAAGTTCCGTCAGACTTGCGTACTAAAACAAATGGCGATGCGAATGGGCTTGTACTTTCTGTGATGATATTTTTCTTGAGAAGTCTTCTAATATGTTCCCGCACCTCTTCCAGTTGAGCTGGCGGTATCCGGCGGTAAGGTTGTTTAATGAGTGTTTCATCAGACATCAAAATTCTATGTTTTACTTTGTCCGTATATCCCAGGTCTTCGTCAGACTCTGCGATAGATCCGCATTCTGGATGAGTAGTTCTTTGGCCAATTTTTCCTCTTCTTCAGTCAATCCTTTCCAAATCTGGTTGAATATACGATCTAAAGTACCGGTACTAGTAGTCTTAACACTGGCGCTGACTCTGTTTAAGCATATACTGCCATCATTAACCATCGATACAGACTGAAGTTTCCCAATTTGTGTTCTTGGCTTTAGGTTAATAACCTCATCAGTTAAATTGAGCACCTGAACCTTAAGCCGGCCATTCTTGGTAATTGTCAGAGCACAGCTAACCATAATCCCCTTTGGAAGATTTTCAATTGGTTCAATGATAACTTCGTGATCGTCCGTACACACAGGACCAGATACAGAAACAAATATAGCCCCTTTTGATGGAACTTGCACATTCTTTGGATGATTAACTCGAACCAATCCCTGAATAATAGGTTGCGTTTTTATCGCTGGTAATTCAAATCCAATTAGTTTTTTTCATTGCTTCTCGGGAACATCCCTTAATCACGTTCATACCAAGCAACATTAGTACTTTGCTGAAAGTTTTCACAACTAAAACGCCACGGTCAGGAATAATGGACTGGTTAATTATAATATCTGTCATGAAGTAACCAGCATAGGGTATAGATGACCCATTAGCTGCGTGAATGGTGAGCCAGTTTAAATTTTTCAGTGATATATTGTGGAAATGTTCAAGAAAATAATCCTCCGATATAGTAGTAACTTGAGATCCTGTGTCAATAATGGCCTTCACTTCCTTATCGAACATGGTTATATTTACAATAGGACAGGATCCAATCAATTTACTTGTACAAGCACTTGGCTCTACTGAGCCTGCATCTTCCACATGTTGACCCAGAACATGGCTCCTGTTGCTGGGTGATTCTAGTTTCCCGAAGGTGATGACTTGACTACGCAGGGGCTTGGGCATTCACTAGCATAGTGGCCTAGCTGTTTACATCGGTGGAAAGTGATTAAGGATTTATCACGTTTCGTGCTAGGTGCTCTTCGTTGGTACTGCCTTTGTTCTAGCTTAGATAGTCTCGCTGCAAAGTCTTCCTGCTTTGAACGAATGTCTTCAGTTATGTCAGTCTGAACTTTCATAGCAAGTGAGAGACTCTCTAAACTACGGCCCAATCCCGT